ATCTGCTTTGGCTGTTTGTAGTATATCTTTAAGTGGTCCAAACTACTACCTTGCAACCCAAAGTAACTATTTGTGAGTGTGAAATTAAATGAATTAATTCTATTATTTGCAGATCTGAGCTTTATCCTTAAGTCTGTGTTCACCTTTGCATCTTATGAATTCCAAATATAGAATCACAAATGGGGTTATTGTGCATTACATTAGAGTGTAAATATTGCCAGTGTCAGCATCCTGAAATATTATATATGACTTTAATAAAATTAGCATAAGTACTATATATGTTGGTAATTTATCTAAGGAAGTGCATTGTATTTATCTAATTTTTAAATATAGATCTACATGCATTACAGTGCTTTGAATATCTATTTAATGGACATGCCCTTATTATCTAATTAAAATATTTATTATTTGTGCCAGTGTCATCTGCTCACATTTGCTTAAATATTCTTTATTTGCAGTAGGAGACTGTGCCTTGCATCTTCTCTGGGTGATAGTCTTTACAGATAATTCACTCAATCATTTCTATAGGGTCAAACTGAAAACTGAAAGCTTCTCTGGGTGATAGTCTTTACAGATAATTCACTCAATCATTTCTATAGAGTCAAACTGAAAACTGAAAGACCCCCCAACACACACACACACATACACACACACACACACACACACACACACACACATTCATCCTTCCCCATACCAACTCCATAATTTTCATTTGTTTTAGGGTTTGTTTTCTAAATTTAAATAATTTATCTGATTCATCTTCCCTATATTAAATAATGTTGAAAACATTTCTTTGTTGCAAAACATGGAGTTGTGAACTAAGTAATTTCTGTTTCTCAGTTTTTTATTATCATATTAGAAGCTTATATCAATGGAGAAATTAAATGTGTGCTCTTTTGAAATGCCCTATTTTCAACCCTTCCGTCCTTAATAAACAGAGATGGTATTGACACAAGTGAATTTTGTTTAACCACACTACATTTGCTTCTTAATTAGTGAATATTCATCTGTCATCAGCAGCAGCTATGACACCCCACCCTGCTAACATGTTCTGTCATAAATAATCAATGAGGCACTATTAATATTCATGAGCTGGAATCTGTGTAGTCATGTGCACTGATGCAGAGACAGGGGGAGTGTTGCCATGAACTGACTGGAAACTCTGTGTGTAGCGTGAGTGCAAGATACTTCGGAACGCGGAGAGCATGCACCCTGGCTTCTGCCTTCAGCTAACAGCGGTCTTTCTGTTTCTGGACCGAAGTGACTGATGATAAACAGTAGTCAAGTCTGGAGGGTGATTCCCTTGCAGTTCACTTGCCTTGCAGTTCTGGGGAAACTAGAAGATTTGTGCTCTCTCTCTGCTTCCTAGAATGGGCTGCAATTTGTGCACTTTTCAGAAGAGAGAGGAACACTACAAACTGCTGTACGAAGTTTCCCAGGTGAGTGCAGGTCTGTAAGCAGTAACCTAAAGCAGCCAGGCTTTGTGTTCATCTGAGCAATGGGAAACGATGTCTGGCTTGCTTGATTTTCTGTCTTTCGGTGCATTTCGGAATCGAGGGCAGACTTGATGTTTGGGGGCTTTTTATTTGACGTTTGGGTGGCAGTTTTCAGTTTCCTTGCCACTCCCCCTTCAGATGACTTCCTGTGGGATTCTTTTTAACATTTTGTGTATCTGCTGCCAAGATGTCTGTCAAGTGAGAGGAACAGCTCTGAGATCCCTGACTGTAATCTTTTGAGAGACCTCTTTGGTTTTGGGTTCATGTTGACATTTGAAAATCAATTGTATCATTGTCTGCATAAATACTGGGAGTTAATAGCTCTGTGGTCTCAGTGATTTTGAATAGACAGGAAAAGTTTCTTGCCAAATCTGGTTAGCCAGAGGAAATTATTTGATTAATGAGACTTTTTTTTTTTTTTTGCTTTGCTTTAAGAGAAAGACTTGGTATTTTTGTATAAAGGAAACTACCTGACATGTCTTAAGAAAGATAAAATGGGATTATTTTTACCATATATCTTTGGATCCTGGCTCTATTTTCTGTCTGTTTAGCACTATAAATTAATTGCAAGAGCTTATTACAATGTGCATGTGTGACTTAGAAGAAAATCATATAAATTCAAATGCCTCTTTAGTGCATATCTCAGGGTTTTTCTGGCTAAAAAAAAAATAAGGAAACTAGTCAATTCCAAATTTTAATATAACTATTCATTAACTATTTTATTTAAGTGATGTTCACATGCAAATGTCTTATCTGGCAGAATAAAGTTTTATTTCTCCCTTTTTCTAGTTGACCCCAAATATGACAGGATCACTTCTTTTTTTGGACAGTATTGCTGGTGAAAAGGCAATGTTTGGGACATTGGTGGTCTACGGCCCAGCAAAGCTAAGTGCCCACTGCCTACTGGCTCCCTCTGATTCCCCCAGACATGATTCATTTCACAGTGGGCTAATTACAAAGTGGATTTGCTACACATGAAGCAGCCTCCTCTGTTGCAATGTTAATGCACATTTTCATGGTAATGTGATCAGAGGCTCATTAGCCACTTTCCAAAATGATCCTCTGCATTAATTAAATATAAAAAATGATTCCTTTATCACCAGAGAGAGGAAAAAGAAGATTAACATTGTTAATTACACTGGGGGGCAATACCTTTGGCTTTCCTTTAGAAAAGAAAACCTATAAACTTGCAAGTGTGGGCTAAAGTGAAGCCGGTTCCTGGATGCTGGCTTGTCTTTGACTCTTGAAAACTGTCTCCAGGTGGAGCACTCTCCTTTGGTTTGCTTCTTAGAGTTAGACTTCCTGCATTGGTTTTCTGTGGTTCAGGAGCAGGGGGAGTGAGTTCATCTATCCATTGGTGGTTTTAACATCTCAAGTCCAAATCATATAAAAGGGTAGTGTGGTGGTGGTGGTGGTGGTGGTGGTGGGAACTCTAACCCCAATTATCCCTGGCATACGATGTTTATATCCTAAGAGGGCAGGGTTCCTTCATCCAGCAGGCAGTACCCTGCTTGTCGGGAAGTGGGAGCCTTTGTTATAGGTTTTGAGACTGATTCTCTTTGAGTTTTGCCTTCAAGTGCTTCCCAAACCTTGAGCAAACAGCTAAGCCTCGTTATTGCCTTTGCCTATACACCTCCATCCATTTATTTTATTCTCTCTACTCCCTAGCTGTAGTACTTATGGTCTTTAATAAAGGGTTGAAATGAAGGATTAGCTTCCATTTAACTGGCTTTCATTAGATAAGTTAAAGCCTCAGCTTTAAAGGTCTTGCCTGCCTTTTCCAAGAGGGGCCCTCCTGCAGGGCATCCCCAGATTTGCTGGCTATTTTTTATGGAGTTAATGGATAGATAAGGTATCAAAGGAAAGCAGTGATAGGCTCATATAATACACTGAGGGGCTGCAAACTACTTTCTGTTTTTATTTGGAGGGAAGGCAGCTCAGAGCCCCAAAAAAGTGTGTGTGTCCTTAACCAGGTGTTTGGGAGGACACATGGTTTCTAGCAAGTGCATTGAGATGAAGAGCGGCATACCCAAGTGCCCCCAAATTGCATAACTTTATACTTGTCATTCCTGTATCACCTGCATCTTTGTTTCTTCGTAATTTTTAAGAGCAGAGGAAAATTCTGGTTTATGGAGGGAGAAGGGTGTGATAACACAAAATTAGCAGTGAATCCATAATGTGTTCCCCAACAGCTCAAGATATATGTTTCATTATGATAGGATCATTATGGTTTTGAACTTTCCACATGTCATCTCAGGACTTAGTGAGCTAATAAACAAGCCAAGCAGAACACAGTTAGGTCTGCAGGAAAAGAGGTAGTAAGTGTGCTCCCTGAGAAGCCTGGTGAGGCCACCTGAATGACATACTCAGGTGGCAGGTGATGTCGTTTATATTTTGGTGATTTTTTTTTTGCTCTTACAGAAGAGATAAGACTTGTAGTTGGCAGGAGAGATGTAATGTCACCTCAAAACATTGGGTGTGTCAGGGGCTAGTATGAAGCCACCATTCGGGTGACTCTAAGACAGACTGGGACCGATAAGGCGACCTTCTCACCAGGCAGTGTTGAATACCTATCATCTGCTGTTACATGTGCCAGGGACACCACTGTTTTCTACAGTAATGTATTTTATGCAAAGTAGGGTATTCATTAACCTCTTAAGAATTAATAAGTGGGTGCTTTGAAAGATGTCCTTCTATTGACAAAAGCTGAACTGCCCATTTTGTATTTATGTGATTAAATGGCCACCTGCACCATGTCGGTGCTGGACCTGGCCGGGCATTCCGGTCCCTCTTAGCACCTGTTCTCCTGAGTGACATCCAAGTCTGGTGCCTCATTTAATGGCTTCTTAGACCCATTGTTCATATAAACTAAGTGTAACTTTTTGATTGATTAAATGATAAAAGTATCAATGGAGTGCCTAATAGCATTGAGCAAAGTATTAAAATGAGCAAATGTTTACAAGTTCATGTTATTTCCACAAAATGTGTTTCTAAGATGTCACTTAATGTTTTGAGGAGAGTGGTGCAAAGCTCTGTTCTTACTTGCCAAATGAGAGAAAAGAAATTAACTTGCCTTCAACTTCAGGAAGCCAGTAGTGTGGGTCTCTGTGCAGAGTCAGGGTCTCTTTTGAAGGTATATTTTTATACAAGACAGGGTTTTATATATATATATATATATATATATATATATATATATATATATATATATGTGTATAAACATATATATATATATATATATATATATATATGATTAATAAAGAGAGAGGCCAGCAGATTTAGAGTGGGAGGGACTTGAGAGGGGCTGAGGGAGGAAGAAGAAGGGGGAAACTGGTGTAATTAGATTATAATTAAAATGAAAAGTGAAGTAAAATATCTTTAAATAAAAAAGTAAAGTTCATCATTGCTACTGCTGCTGTTTTAGACACCAAACAACACTTAAGTATTCAGATAATTTTGAAGTTATTTGGGTAGTAATGAAATGTATTAATAAAAGGTAGTTATTTACAGAAAAGTAATGTATTGGTTTTTCCATGAATAGGAGCAAGAATTTGTTAAGATTGTAGGAATCAAATATGAGGTTGGACCACCTACACTATGCTGCTTGAAACTTGCATTTTTGGACCCCATTTCAGGCAAAATGACTGGAGAGTCCTTTTCCATTAAGTAAGTAGCTTGTTTCTGATTCTGTTTTTGTTTGTTTGAATTTTAATGCCCATTGGTACTAATGTATTTAATATTCAATTCAGAGCTCAAAAACAATGGGAGTGGAAATACTGTGGTTTATTATTACAAAGATTTGAGTAGGTTTTGGTTTCTTGCTCTGTCTAATGTGTGATACGAATGGATGAACTGATCCCTGATCAAAGCAAGGTACTTAGTCTGATCATGTAAAATGGACATGCTAAAATGCCGATCCTTTCCTTAGAATTGCAAGGAATCAAAGACCAACGTTTAAGAGTATGCTTAGTTGGTATTGTTTTGATAATAATAATAGGGCTAATAAGTAAATGACTACTTGTGGAATTTAAATTTAAAATTGAAGGGAATTGAAAAAAATAAATCTGTATTTTGGAGGCCAGATCTCACCTTGTAGCCCTGGCTAGCTTTCAAAGTGATCCACCTGCCTCTCTGCTTCCCAAGTGACAAGGTTAGTGGTGTGTGCCACCACACCTGGTGATCTGTTTTTTAAATTTTTGATGAAGATCTTCACTTAAAAATTTTAAAGCCTTTGTTGATATCTTAATATTAAGTAAAGCCATTTCTGAAGACCATGGAGTTTACAAAATTTTACTTAATAATCTCTATGTCAAATGTTTATCCTCGGAAATGGAGCAAGTGATGAATACTATTACATTACAGTATTAGATGCTACTGTGCTTTATTTTCTATATAGGTATCATGACATGCCAGATGTCATTGATTTCCTTGTGTTACATCAGTTTTATAATGAAGCCAAAGAAAGAAACTGGCAGATTGGTAAGTATAGATTGTGACTTATAATTAATAAGCTTGAAGTACAGTATTAACCCTGATTTAACAAAAGGAAATTAGTTCAAGGTTTACCTGAACAAAGAAGTCAAATTTATAAGGCAAGCAAAAAATTAAACATAATTTTAGTGAACTTAATGCACACTGTGTAATATTTGCAAGCACTTCACTCTTGTACCTCATTTCATATTAGGTGGTGTTACTTGCCTATGTCCACTTGTAGTTTGCAGATATAAAATGGATAATATCAACTCATAATTTTTTGGTTCCTCAGTCTGAATAATATAATGAATTCTAGCACCATCACATTCCTTCTTCCCTGGGATGTCAGTTTTTCCAGCAAACATGCTGGACTTATCTTTTATTCTCAGCTGTATCTTCCAAATCCTCTGGGTATTATAGCGCATAAATTCAAGTACCTATTATGAATTAGCTTACATTATTCACCTCAGTTCATCTCACTGTGCCAGCTCACATAATTGCAGAAAGAAAGGGTGAATATAATACCTTAGAGTACTTTAAGAGAAACCACATCACAAACTTTTTTTAGATGATACCATTTGTTTTATTTGTTCGAATTAGGAACAAGCTTGCTTCACATGTCAATCCCCTCTCCCTCTCCCTCCCCTCCCCCAACCTTTCTCCCTCTGCTCCCCAGGGAGGGTAGGGCCCTCCACAGGGGCTCCCCAAAGTCTGTCATATCATCCTGGGCCGGGGCTAGGCCCTCCCCCATGTGTCCAGGCCGAGAGAGCATCCCTTCTTGTGGGATGGGCGCTCAAAGCACATCACAAACTTGTATTACGTTATATTTTAATAAAATGTACAACTTCTAGTGTACAACTTCTAGTCTCTTACTATGCTAGATTTGGAAAAATTTACTATAATTGTGTGTGATAATGCTAAATACAAGCTACTTCTGTACTCAAAACTATGTAATAATTTGAGTGGGATAGAGCTATTTGAATTTTTTTGAATTTATTATAGGTGATAGATTCCGCAGTATAATAGATGATGCCTGGTGGTTTGGAACTGTGGAAAGTCAGCAGCCTTTTCAGCCAGAATATCCTGATAGCTCTTTCCAGTGTTACAGTGTTCAGTAAGTATAGCTCATTCGTGACTCTGATAAATACTGTCTCTTTATATCAACTTTTTTCACATAAACATTGTTTTCTAAATAGATCATTGTATTCTTTCCTACAGGTTAATTTTATAGATATATTCTTGGGGGGGGGTTGAGACAGGGTTTCTCTGTGTAGCTTTGGAGCTACACTCTGGAGACCAGGCAGGTCTCGAACTCCCAGAGATCTGCCTGCCTCTGCCTCCCGAGTGCTGGGATTAAAGGCATGCACCAACAATGCCTGGCCACAGTGGCTTCTTAAATATATATCAAGCCCTAGACTTTGTGGTTAGGAACACAAAGGAAGTTTCAACAGTCCTTTCTTTTGTGAAATACACAGACTGACAGTAGATTGCAGGCACATAAGCTTCGTGTTTTATAATGTTTTAAATGAAGCATGAAACCAACCGTCATTGATGGTTGGCTAGAGGAATGCAAAGGTGTCAGAATGATGGAGATGGGAAACGGGAGATACAGAGGAATATTAAAAATGGAATAAAAGAAGAAATCCATAGAGGTGACAAACAGGTGGTGAGTTACAAAGTATCTGGTATAGGGAAACTCTAAGAAAGTGTTAACAAAGCCTAAAGGGGAAGGAGCACTCTAGACATGGCCTGAGAGTGGATAAGACTAAACTGGAGATTCCTTGTATTCAGATTCTTTGTCTCCTCCTCCTCCTCTTTCTATTCCTCCTGTCCCTCTTCCTCTTCTTCTCTTCTTTGGAGGGAGGAAGACAGGGAGAGAGAGCAGTGAGAGATTATGTGTTTTAGACGAGCACTCTAGACATGGCCTGAGAGTGGATAAGACTAAACTGGAGATTCCCTGTATTCAGATTCTTTGTCTCCTCCTCCTCCTCCTCTTCTTTCTATTCCTCCTGTCCCTCTTTGGAGGGAGGAAGAAAGGGAGAGAGAGCAGTGAGAGATTATGTGGTGGATGGCGTGTTTCACTAAGAATACATCATTTATCCCTAGTACAGGAATGGACTTTGGGAGCCCACTTGACACAGAGGGATGCTCTCTCGGCCTAGACACATGGGAGAGGATCTAGGCCCTGCTCTAAATTATACGACAGACTTTAAAGATCCCCATGGAAGGCCTCTCCCTCCGTGGGGAGCAGAAAGGGGATGGGATTGAGGGTTAATGGGGGGGGGGAGGGCAGGGAGAGGGAACTGGGATTGACATGTAAAACAAGCTTGTTTCCATTTTAAATTTAAAAATTTTACTTAAAAATAAAAGAATACATCAAAGGAAACCAACTAGGAAGCCATTGCCAAGGGCCAGTCAGTGTCGAAAGAACATGTGAAGAGGGAAACCTGGAGATCAGATTAAGGGAAAGCTAATAGGTGTCTGGCTTATGAGACTGTATATGCTCACGGTGACAGAGAGCAGTAAGAGAGTAAAGCAAATCTTAGAAATGAGAAGAAAATTGGGCATGTGACTTCTGGGCTCAGTCATGGTTCCCCCAAAAGTAGAGTAGCAAATACTGTAAGCAAAATCTTAGCAGAAACCACTCTTTGATTTATGCACCCAGGCAAGATAGAAGAACTAAGAACAGGGGAGAATTATAGATGAGTCATGAAGACACAACCAGAAAACAGCTTGTTGGGGGCTGAGAATGACCTGACTTGTGGGAGGAGCTGAGAGGAGGAAGTTCTAGAAAGCAACCAGCACAGACTGTGCTTTGGAGTGATGGGGAATAGCAAAGAGCATTTGCCATGTGCTTCCACAGCCCTTCTAGGGAAGAACCATTGGCCCCAGCTACTGGGAGTCCAGGCAGCTAAAGATGTCACTGCTGGCCACTCCATAGACTTCTGAGCTATAGAAAACCAGCTCACACAAGGTCACTCCTCTTCCTGGAAACTCTGCATCCAGTGAGGACAGATGAAAACATAAAACATACAAAGGCCTGGAACACTATGGATTTCGTTTGAACTCAGGTGTTCCCTGCAGCTGTTGTTGGTCCTACCTCACAGTTCAGCCCTGCTGCCCAATCCCATTTCTACCACCCCAACACCTCCGCTCCATACATACACACTTCAAGGGTTATACTTAGTAAGGAACACACTTCATCCTGTCTCAAAGTGCACTCCCTGGGGCACCTGATCTAGTGATTACAGAAACTGTTAGTATGGAAATGTGGAAGAAGAATCCAAAAATAGATTCAACAACAAGGAAGATAGGCTGTACATCACTGAAGTTCAGAGAGGAAAGGTTATCAGAGAAGGAGTTACTGCTAATATGTGAGTGTAGCTTTTACCCTTTTGATCGCAAAGTTACTTAAAATTGCATTTATCAAATGTCAATGTTTTCTTTGCTTTTCTTTTAAAATTAAGATCTCGAGCCATCATGTTCAGATAATAGTGAGTTCAATATGCAGCATGGAGAATGGGGAGTGTAGTTCACTGGCAAGATGCCTAACTACCATATCCAAGTGCCTGGGTTCAAATCCTCTGTATCACAAAAGAGTATCTTAGTTCCTTTAACTACACACTGTTTAGTCCAAGACATATAAGAACCCTTCAGTGTTAGTTTTATAAAAGTCTTTTTATAAAAATAAATAATATGAAAATCAGCAAGATGTCTAAGCCATTATAGGTGCCTGCCACCCATCCTGATGACCTTCATTTGACCCCTGGAACCCATATGTAGAGTGAACTGAGCCAAGGTTGTCCTTTCATCTCTATACATACACACACACATACACACAGATATACAAACAGGTCAATGCAAGAAAAATTTTAAATATTTCAATATTTCTACTTAATTCATGAGTTTAATTTTAATAATTCTCCTTAATTTATTTGTTTAATAAGTAAAGTATCTTTTCCTGCTGAAAAGATCACAATTTCTCTACAATGTATATCATTACTTTAAATTCCTGCCACTTACTTATTTGATTTAGACATTGGAGGTCAGCCATCTCTAATTGCATAGCTATTTAGGTAAAAACACTTTCCTTGTTAGGTTACACAGGAGAGACATGTTACTGAAAACTGAACTTGTAGGAATGCCAAAATATTGTACTATTGAAATTGCCTGGACTATTTAGGTGAGTAGGATAATCTAATTAGAAAACTTTAATTTCAATTTTATTGAAAAGATTTCTAAAATATATTATGTGATTTACATAATTACTTAACATATGCACAATTATTATTCATTTCCAGTCATGTTAGCTAGTAACAAATGATTTCATATCTTCAGCAAATAGTAGTTTCTTAACTTTATAAGAGTTCAGTAATTAAGTATAAAGATTAATTGATAGTGAAAATTCCTTCTACAGCAATCAGCCTTCAGTACATTCATTTTATATAAGTAGATTCTCACATATTGAATCTTCACAAGTCATTTAATTGGGTGCTCAATCAATCTCCCTAAATGATGAAGGAAGGCAGCAGAATTAAATCAGTAGGCAATCAAGAAGAGGCCCTGGGTTGTGGTTCTGGAATTGATCTGTGCTCGGGAGATGTTCAGGATTCATTGCTATGAATGGGAGCCAGAGCCAGGCCTTCCCCTTCAGTTAACCATTCTCCAACAACTTTCATCTTCACCCATCCAAAGCATGCATCTTCAGAAGTTTTGGCATTATTCTCAACAATGTCATCTTGTTGTAACTCATAGATTGAGGAACCATTGGGTAGTAGTTCCCTCTTCACATTTACAATTCTAGTAATGCAGGTTCAGCTGTGTTTCCTAAGGAGCCATTCCTAAGTCATCATTGCAACCTGTCTCATTTTCTTCTTTATACCATAGCAATTTCTTCTTTCCTAATCCCATCTCTCCCGATGTGGAATACCCACTTTAAAAAGATTATTATGCGGAGTTCCTTGTTCCTTCAAAATTATACCATAGCAATTTCTTCTTTCCTAATCCCATCTCTCCCGATGTGGAATACCCACTTTAAAAAGATTATTATGCTGAGTTCCTTGTTCCTTCAAAAAAAAATTCTTAAACAGTAGCAGCCCCATGTTCTCTATGTTGTCTTGTTTCCATATGTAATATCTAAGTGCTAATTTGTGCCATTCTGTAACAAGCTATAAATCTTGTTTTATGGTTCTCTGTGCCATTTGCAAAGCACTTTTCCCTCCTGCCTTATGTAGCTTTTTTAAAAGTAGAAAAATCATAGCTTTAAAAAAAACTACTCTAATCTCAATTTGATATTTTTCTGAACTAATCACTCACTCCCATGTCTCATAAGAATCTGTGACAGGTACCTTTATTTAACAAAATAATGCTTTCAAGATATGTGAACAAAGATGAATTTCTGAAATACTCCAGTTTGATAAATCATAAATGAAAGACCATCTTTGAAATCAGTGTTCATGTTAATTTTTTTAAGTAAAAACGTTGGAGTGTATTGAATAATCACAAGTATGCTACATTTGCATTGTGTTCAACATTCTAATAGAAGGTATGGAAATACAAAAGAAATGTAAGTCAAAGAGGCAGTCTTCAAGGAGAGTATCATCACTATGGGAATGACAAGGGAATGACCATATCATTCTGTGAAAGGGCACTTCTACATGGGACATGCAGCCAAAGGAACTTTGGAATCTTAACAGGATGGTCTTCATTAAGAGCCAAAGTCAACGTCACACTCCTATTCCTCCTGTAAATCCATTCAATTGAAGGCATTTGGAGTCTAGAATCTATTGTGAAAACTGTCAGGGGAAGATGACTTGTAGGGCATATCCTTCTGAAAAGGAGAAGAAAAGCCTGACTGAAGTCTGAGATGAGATTAGAAGTATTCAATGAGAAAAAGGCAAGTCAGATCATAGAACATGTGGAAACATTGGTTGCTTGATTTTTGATGCCAAGCTGATCGACAGTAGATAAGTGTATCATTGGTTCTTCAAACATGCTCTGTATTTCCTTAGTGACTAATGTTTCAGGGGTTTGAAGTTGTCTCTGCCTATGCTAAATGTTAAACAACCCTGCCATTATAATTTAGTACATACTTCATTAGCCATTACTTAATGGATTATTATCAACTTGAAGT